ACACACACACACACACACACACACACACACACACACACACACACACAGAATATGAATATTTCCCAGGTGCCCTGTTCCTACCTTAAAGAAATTTAGCTTATAAGCAAGAAGAACCCTGGGTAAGATATTCAATCCTCACTCAGAAAGACAAATAGGACTGACATTGGAAGAGGGAGAAAACAGGGAACAGGACAGGAGCCTACCACAGAGGGCTTCTGAAAGACTACCCAGCAGGGTATTAAACAGATGCTGAGAGTCATAGCCAAACTTTGGGCAGAGTGCAGGGAATCTTAGGAAAGAAAGGGGAGATAGAAATACTTGGAGGGGACAGGAGCTCCACAAGGAGAGCAACAGAAACAAAAATTCTGGGCACAGGGGTCTTTTCTGAGACTGATACTCCAATCAAGGACCATTCATGGAGATAACCTAGAACCCCTGCTCAGATGTTGCCCATGGCAGCTCAGTGTCTGAGTGGGTTCCCTAGTAATGGGAACAGGGACTGTCTCTGACATGAACTCAGTGGCCTGCTCTTTGATCACTTCTCCCTGGGGGGGTGGGGGGAGATAATGCAGCCAGTGCTGATGAGACCTGATAGGCTGAGGTCAGATGGAAGGGGAGGAGGACCTCACCTATCATTGGATCATTGGACTGGGGGAAGGGTATGGGAGAAGATGAGAGAGGGAGGGTGGGATTTGAGAGAATGAGGGAGGGGGCTAGAGCTGGGATACAAAGTAAATAAACTTTAATTAATTAATAAAAACAAATAAATCAACAACAAAAAAGGAATTTTAGCTTAAAGGATTTGTTTGGACACAACACTTCAATTGTATCTAAAGAGCACAGTAAATTGGCATCTTTATTTATAAATACATATATCTAAAGTAGCTTAGTAAACTGGCATTTCTCTCTATAAAATGTCACAGGCTCTGTCCCCACAACCTCCTGACCTCCCTCTGAGGACCTTTCCATAGATGGGCAAGTTCATCTGGAACATTGTGGAGAGCTCTTCAGATGTAAAAAATGTGGCTAGAATAATGGACATTTGCAGAGGAACAAGGATGAAATCATGAATCTTAGCTCAAAGTACAGAAAACAATGTTCCCTCCATGCTGAAGTGTGGTTTGTGACTAACAGCTTGAAAGTGGACAGGTCATTCTGGCCTTGAGTCATTTCTGAGGGAATTCTCTGTTCAGGATGTACTCCATCTTTTATTTCTACCTTATTTGTATAGAATTGACCATTTGTAGAACCTGTGAAATTTGCCGTGTAGTCTGCTATACCAAGTCTGTTTATCAGCCTACATTGGGCTCAGTTTCACATCAGGTTTTGATTTATTGAAGATCTATCCCTTAGCGTTCTCCCAGCTACTCAATCAGAAAATGTTTCAATCATGACCTGAAAATTAAAAGGTGGCATTCTTAATTAAATCAATAAGCTAATTGCTATATGGTAGCGATTCAATTTAGGAGCCAGGGTTGTTCACCTTCCCAAGCCTGTGAGGACACCCAGTGATTTCTGTCTGAGATCACATCTGTCAGTCTGAGAAACTTTGAACATTTAATTTCCATTAATTGATTTCCTCAGTGCTCACAAATATAGCACTAAATTCTCAAATAGGTCCTTAGATGGGATGGTTTTATCTGCATAAATGAAAATAAAACAATAAACACAGAGCCCAGCTGATTTGAATTTTTGCCTCTGTAATATTTAATTATTCATAAAGCACTCATGTTGAAAAATTCCGACAGAATAAAAAAAAAATAAAATGAGACATTCTGTTGGTGAACACACTTTGTGGCGTGGCTGCTAGTAACTAATAATGTTGTAACAAATGGCAGTGTTCCACTATATTTCACCCCTTTCTTGTTAACTGCGCCCCCAAACTCCCCACCTCTAAATACACATAATGATCGCATTTGCCAACGAGATTAATTGCCTTCCTCAGTGAGCCAGCAGGATTTCAAGTCTAAGAATATTTAAAAATCAAACCTCTAGTGCAGAAATTTTGCAATTTAAATGGGTGTTATTATTGAGCGCATTCCCGCATTTACAAATCCTGAGAGATGGATAAAAGTGCTGGTCTCATTAAAAGAAGAGGTAGAGACTAGCAAATGTTGGGGAGAACTCTGAGGCCTCTTCATTTTCCTCCTCCGGGAAGCACTTGGCCCATCTGGACCATGCTGCCTTAGGCTGAGGACAAAGGGTCATTCCCCCTGATGGTTCTCCCAGCCATGACTGATTTGGTCCCCATATCTCCAAATTGCCAAAACTACAAGGCCAAGCACCAGGCCCAGACTGCTTTTCACACTTGGCAGGCTTTTCCCTTTGAGGGTGATCCCTTTGCAGGGGCGCAATGGAAAGAGCGCAAGGCTTGAATTGGATTCACTACAGCTCTCAGCTGTGGCCCTTCAGCAAGTCCCTCCACTACTTTCTCAGTTCTAATTTGCTTATGTGGAAAAAAAATGTCATAAGCCCCTGGTCTTCTGTTATTCTGTCAATGGCAAGCTAAAAGGATGTGGAGTATCTTGTGCCTCACAAAGCAATATGTGATGTTTATTAAGTCATATAAATAATATTGTACACAGGAATATCCAAGACACAGGGGCAAAGGAAGGGTAAATGTGAGAATATTAGCCTTGACACTGTGCGCGAAGTCCCTGTCTCCTAAAGTAGCCGGGATTGCCAAAGTTTTCTCAGCATGGATCATCTTTGTTCCCACCACTGCCAGACAGGATTTGCATAAGGCGGAGCCCCTGCCTACCTCACAAATCTTTGTGGAAAGCTCCATGGGAATTGAGAAGACTTGAGTTTGGAGCCTGGATTGACAGTTAATGTGTTTCCTGGTGATGTTTCATATGGTGTTTTTCTTGTTTACCTGGCTGCCTACTTACCGGAGTCTGTGTGAAGGAACATCCAGGGCAAGACATAGCCTCAGAGACCTTATAACCTTTTGGAGAGAAAAGGGGCCCATCCAGACCTCTGCCTGTCTGAGCCTAAAGTCACAGTGCTGGCTTTGCCTTCAGTGCCACCCCATTTTCTTCATACATCCCATTCCTTTATTGGTGATCACATCCACTCAAACTAGCCTTCTTCCTGTTCGTCCTTCTGTCCCCAGATACTATGTTAGCTCCTTATTTAAGCCAGAGGTAGAAGGCTTTCCCTGACAGCCTTTGCAAAATCTGCCGATTCTGCTTCCCTAGAGATGGCTGCCCTCACCCTGACCCCTCTTGTGCTGTGCTATCCCTGATAAGAAGGGCTTGAGCTTTTGTTTTCTTGGTTGGAAAAGTCAGAGGATGGGGGCTCTGTGTTCCTCTCTACAGTGTGGTCCATGTGGTGGGATCATCTGAGCTGAATGAAAAGGATCATTCCTGCACCCTGGAAATCATCCTATGACACTAGTGACTAGCACACTACTGGGCACAAAATTGGCCCACAATAAAGTCACAAAAGTCACTAACTAACCTGAAGGAAGCACATGCTAAGACCCAAGTGATGAATGTGGGCAGAGTCCTGAGAGGTTAGGGAGGGTCGTGGCCAGGCCAGATCTGTGCCAGCCTCCTCATGTCTGGATGTAACTCTCCTTTCTCATTGTCACTCCCAGTTGTGCCATCCAGCCCCACTATGGCCTCCTCTACGAGCCTCCCCTCCAACTGCAGCAGCTCCTCGGGCATCTTCTCCTTCTCACCAGCCAACATGGTCTCCGCCGTGAAACAGAAGAGCGCATTTGCACCAGTGGTCAGACCCCAGACCTCCCCGCCTCCCACCTGCACCAGCACCAACGGGAACAGCCTGCAAGGTAAGGAAGGGCCAGGCCCACAGCCATGGGTTTTTTGGCCTACAGAGGTCCGAAGAGGGCATCTCAGTGTTGCTGTGAATGTGGGGTACAGTGTGGATGGGGATTAAGTGCTGGGCCCACCAGCTTCTCTCTGCCCTGACTCCTTTTTGTCTTTGTGTTCACACTCTCTGGTGCCAGCCACTAGTCCTGTCCCTGCCTCCTCTGTGACAGTGTCTGAGACAGCCTCTTTCCTGCTCCAGGAGTTTGGGACTCAGGACTTGCCTGAGATCACTGTAGCCATTTGCTAATGCCACCATTTCTCTTTTCTCCTTCCTCTCTGTTGTTGCCTTTATTAGACCAGTGTTTTATAGATACTATCATGTTCTCCATGACAGTGTCCCTCCTGGGACCAGCCTTCCCCTAAAGTAGGTCACTCAGCCTTCTCTTCTTGTAGATTGTGTCAGGATGAGGCTGTGTAAGGAGGTGACAGGGAGGGGACAGCAGCAGTCCACTCAGAGCCCATCATGCACCAGCACTGCAAACATCAAAGGCCTCTTGAGAACCGCTGGAATATTCTGGTTCATATTAAAATTGTTCAGTCTCCTTCCCACCATACAGTATGGGAAGCAGCAGAACCATCAGGCTTTGAACTGACCTTCTCATTTCTTGAGGGAGGAATAAAAAGCCAACTCTAAAACTGGGCCCACTTTTTCTCACATTCCTCGTATGTGCTTGGCTCTGTTAATTGAACTGGCCCCTGGGACCTACCGCCCAGCAGTATGATGACAGCATGCTCACAGCCCCTACCTTACGGATGAGAAAACTCAAGGAGAGAGGTTGCAAAATGGCTTGACTCCTCCCATCTAGTGTGTGGCAGTCACCAGCTTCAAAACCAGGCTAAAAATTCATCCCTTTCCAGAACCTAATACGCTCCAAGAATGTATCCCAGATTCCTAAGAAAGCTTGCAGGGAGATAAGATCAATAAAATGATCAACCACCATTTATTGAGCACCAAACAGTAGGTCTGCTAAGCACAGGGCAGGCTTTATCTGTTAATCCCTCCAGTGTCTTGATGAGGTATGAGACCATTAGATCACCACAGTACCAGGTGATGGAGCTTAGGGAGGGTGAACACAGGTCACTGACATCAGGCAGATGATGGAGGTGGAGGTGGAAGTGAATGAATGCCCTACAGGATTCAGTCCTAATCCCTACCCTAAAGCACAACTCGAAACAGGGCCTTGCTTCAGTGGCCAGCATGTCACTCTAGAGGGCGACCACGGAGACCAGAGAATGGTCAGAAGGGCGGTGACACACCTGGGATTTCCCACCTTGATTTCTCATGTGGCTGTGTGTGCCCCATGTAACATATAGACAGATAGTATGTTCTGTGTACTTTCTGCTGAAGTAAGCACACACGGGTTCTCCCAGGACCCTCAGACTTCAATACTACCCTCAATGTATAGACAGGAACATCCAAACTTAGTTTACTCAAGGGATAGAGTGAAGACACATTGAAGTCAAGACTGAACCTAAATGGTACAACAGAGCCTAAGCAACCGCACCCTTGTGCCTTTCTACCTCTGACAACTTTTTAGGACATTCCTCAGAACCTATGGGCAGATGGCTTGGCATAGCAAAGACAGTGCCATCAACGGGCAATACACTTACCAGTCCATCACCTTGAAGAGAAGAGGAAAGTATTTTACTCTGAAACTACATCTCAGGGCAGGTAGACAAGCTAGTAAATACCATGTCCCCTCCTATTCAGGTCATATTTGCTCTCTATCAGCTAAAAACTAAATGTCTCCCTTCATTATTCTCCCAGCTAGACCAACCAACCTTTCATGTAGATTAAAGTAATGATGATACGTATGGAAAGGGTGAAGTTTCTTTCTTTCTTTCTTTCTTTTTTTAAGCTGGCAGTATCAACTTTGGTTAGTGTGTTAGTTTGAGGTGACTAATGAAACACCCATGACCAAAGCAACATGGGGAGGAAAGAGTTTATTTTTCACGAGGATGTATATTCAGCTTACACTTCCACATCCTTAAGAAGTCATCATCAAAATAAGTCATTGTAGGAACTCAAACAGAGCAGGAACCTGGAGGCAGGAGGCAGGAGGCAGGAGCTGATGCAGGAGCCATGGAGGGGTGCTTTTTACTGGCTTGCTCACCATGGCTTGTTCAGCCTGGTTTCTTATAGAACCTAGGACCAACAGACTAGAAGTAGCACCAACTAAAAAAAAAAAAACTGCCTCCCCCCATCAATCATTAATTAAGAAATTGCCCTACATGGGCTGGTGAGATGGCTCAGTGTGTAAGAGCACTGACTGTTCTTCCAAGGGATGCAGGTTCAAGTTCCAGCACCTACATGGCAGCTTACAACTGTTTGTAACTCCAAGATCTGACTTATATCCCAGCAAAATACCAATGCACATAAAATAAATAAATTTAAAAAAGAAAAGAAATTGCCCTACAAGCTTTTCTACAGACCAATATTTTGGAAGCATTTTCTCAATTGGAGATCCCTGCTTTCAGATTACTCCAGCTTGTGTCAATTTGACACAAAACTAGCCAACACATTATAGTTGATATCAGGAACAAGACGCAAGGAAAATTGTGATTAACAGCAAAGGGGAGTTGAACTTAGAAGGCACAGGGTATAACCCAGACATACTGCTATACATGACCCTGCCTTTACCATCTAACTGGATGTGTCCTTGATGGGGTACTGTTTTTAGACTCTTCTATAAATCATACTCTTTTGTTCTCCTCATACTGTCATATGCCAGATATCCATGCTTTGAAGACATGACAACAGTGGAAATGTGAATGGAAAAATGCAAGTTCAATTAACCAAGACCACTTCTCTTCAGCTATTCCTTTGGTCTGTCCCTCTCTCCAGCCTGTACTCACGAAAGAGCCATCCTGGAAGTGACACGGAGACCTAGTCATAGGCCAGCTACCCCATAATTTTGTTCAGAGAGTTCTTGCACAGATCTTAGACTGTCAACTGGGAAATGTGACCTGAGAGTGGCCTTTCAGGCCACATCTTTCCCCTTTGACCTTCCTTTTTTTCCCCACTGGAAAGGGATTTAGATGGTCTCTGGGATGGGCCATGAATCTCAGCATTGTTCTGAGCTTCCTTTGCTTCTTCAGCCTATAGTAGCACATTTCACTTTGACTCACCCAGTTCAGAACTCTTATCATTCACTCAGACAGGGCCAGTAGCTAAAGAAGAGGTAGTTAAGTAAACTGACCATGTAAACAAGACTAGATATATTGAAACATACACAAAACCTTTTCCCCAACATAGATGTGACACATTTAGACTATTGACATTTCTTTAAAGGCCCATTTACCTCCAACTGCCATTGTTAATTGAACATCCTCCATTTTGTGAAAGCCAGCTCCTTAATCTCCCCTTTGCCAGCAGAAGAGAGGCACTGTGCCTGAGTGTGGTGAGGAATGAGACACACACCATGAGTGTGGGAGGGCATGCTCCTAGCCTGGCTTGTGCACTGACACAAGGCTTCCTCCCTAGTGCCCTTTTGGGTAGCTGCTTATCTCACCCACTTTATAGATGTGGACATGGACACATGGAGCTGAGATGGCTTGTCCACGGTCACTCAGTTAGTAGACAGACGAAACCTCTGCTCTGTTCAGCCTCTAGGCTGCTTTGCCTTATTATATTTGAGCTGCCGGGTTAGGTCCACGTAGAAGACCAAGCTCTAACAACTTTGAAAATTTGTCCTATGTTTGGGAAGTTACAAACACTATCCAGGGTAATGAGACAGATCTGCCCAAGACACACAGGCTTCCAGCCATGGACTTGGAGAGGCAAGAAGCATAGAAGCATAATCAGATCATTTCATAGTCAAGTTGCCTTTGAGATGTTTCTCAGATGGAAGGTAACTAGGATTCCAGCCCAGGGAGAACATTTTTTTTTTTTTTTAATCTGAGAAGCACCTGTGCCAAGACCATATAAGCAGTCAAATCGCTGATGGTGTGTGTCATCCCAAACAAGGTTCTGCCACGTGGAGTATCATACCAGAAGCAGGAAGAAGACTAAAAAATGAGGCCTTCACTCCCAAATCCCACACCTCTCTGTGTCAATTTTGTGGTTCAAGTATTCTGATGTATCTCTCATATAATCGGGACTTTTGAAATTTTAAGAAGAAACAGTTGTAAGACAAAGCAACTTTTACCTCAGAACTTCTGGATCCTCAGGAGACATTTGGTTAAGGAACCAAACTGTTGTGATTAAATTTAGAAAGTAGTTCTTACTGGGCCTCTGTGGTAGAGAGCTTTGCTCTTTGTAAAGATTAAATGCTCTGAGACATCCTGCAGAGAAACAGAAATGACTGTAGATAGCCCTCAGTTTCCAGAGGGACATAACCTCAGCACCTGTATAAATACCCAAATGCATGTTTGTTCAGACCCATTATATAAATGATAAAGTGTCGGTGTATGAGCTCTAAATCATCTGTGCTATGTATAATACCTAATGCAGTGTAACGCAACATACAGAGCTTTCACACTCTATTGTTAAGGAAATAATAACAGGAAAAGGCTTCTGCATGTTTAGCATAGTCACAATTATTTTAAATTTTTAAATTTTATTTTTAATTGGGTTGATGAGAAGGCTCAGAGCATAAAGTGGCTTGCTGTGCAAGTATGAGACCTGTGTTCAGATCCTAGAACCCATGCAAAACCTGGCTCAATGTGGCTATGACCCTAGTGTAGGGTAGGAGGAAAAGAGGGAGATTGTGTGGATCCCTGTACCTTGCCTGACCAGCCTTAGTCTAATTAAAATATCAAGGCCCAGGTAAGAGAGGTTCTGTCTCAAAAACATGGCAAAATGCAATAGAGGAAGATACTTAGCATTGACCTTTGGCCTACACACACACACACACACACACACACACACACACACACACACGCTCACATTTTAAAAATTAGCATAATAGTTGTATATGCTTATGAGCTACATTTGATATTCATATGTGTGTATTTTTATATGTTAGTGTATCTATTATCTGGGACATTTATCATTTCTTTGTAAGGAAACCGAGCTCTCTCTACTAGCTGTTTTTGAAGTTTTTGGTTGGTTGCTATCAGCTGGACTCCTGTGCTATTAGAATTTACCTGTCCTATTCATCCATCTACTGAACCCATTAGCCATCCTTCTGTCATTTTTCTCTGCCCCCGCTTCCCAGCTATGGCAAACATCATCCTAGTCTCTGCTCCTGTGAGATCAACGTTGTAGCTTCTACATATAAGTGAGGACAGTGGTACTTGTCTTTTTGTGCCCAACTCATTTTGGTTAATATAATGTCCTTCCTCCCTATTATTATAATGATGAAATCATTTATAGCTCTTAGCTTTAGACACCCAAGTAAGTCTGTCTTATAGAGCAAAGTCTTGAGTCACCAACCTTGTTCAGTCCTTTTCCATGGAAACAAATGCCCTTTCTCTTCTAAGAGAGCTGTCCCTCAGAGCTTGAGTCCTACGGGAAGACTTTAGAGTCAGGTGAATGATATCACCTGCCATCAAAGTGTCCATTAACTAGGACAAAAAGACCAGGGAGATTTTGCGGAAGTGGTAGTCATAGCATTTTCCCCAACTCCAACCCCCTCCCTATACACACACACTTATACTTTGTTGACATTCAGGCTCCTCTTAGACCTAACTATCATGCATCTCAGAACCAACTTTTACAGAACTGGGTTTGGTTTTGTTTGCATGTTTATATGTTTGTTTGTTTGTTTGTTTGTTGTTTCTCTATGGACACATTCAGTTTGTGGAAGATACTGCCTCACTCCACACCTGATGAGCTCATAATTCTTATACCTCAGGTTGTTTGGGGGAGAGATTACATCTTCTTCCCTCAATCTTCTCCAGCTCTGCAGAGTCTCCCATCTTTGTGTTAGTTTTTATTGAATCAGAGAACCTTTAAGGTGAAATATATTGCCTTTCAACACAATGGCTTTTTGGGTTCCCTTCAGAAGACATGATCAGCTTGCACTGGGGACCATGGCAGAGTATCTGTGGTCTTATGATGATGTCTTGGCACACAGCATTGGGAATGTGGCATCTCGTGGGAATCTTCCTGGTCTCTTCTTGAGCAAGTCAGCATACCAGCAGCATTCTTGGTACATTCCAAGCCTCCGATGCCCATCCCTCTCACCCACATAATTAATTTTCAGATTGCAGCACAGATAGAAAAACAGCTTCTAGGCCCAGAATTGTCATGTAGTCACACAACTGGCTTTCTTTGTTGGGAAGGCCTTTTTTGAGGTGCCCAGACTCAGGCCACAAATGGCTAGCATTTTGTTGCAAAAGAAAAGTGTAGGGTACAGTAACCCTTTGTAAAAACTTGTACGTAAACAACTGCCGGTATTGCGTGAGGGGTAAGGTTAGACTTACACTTTAACTAGCCTAGAAGAGGAGGCAGAGTTGGGACGAGCCATGCCAATCTCATAGTGCCCCCTAAGTGTACTTGATCCTTACACCAGCTATTTGCAAATATACACAAGCCGGGCAATCATGTCAGAAAAAGGCTACGATTCTAAATTCTGTTCAGAGAATTTAGTTTAGGTAGTAGCCCAGGACAGTACAACACCTCTGCAGAAGGCAATGCCCTCTGCCAGCATCCCCCCCTCCCTGTCCAGGGGACTGTGCTCACTCAAGAGTCAGCTGGTCTTTCAAGGCTATGGGGATTACAAAAATCAAACTGAGAACTATACCAGCATACCACTGAGCCTTGTGGGGACTTTTAATTTATCCCAATGAAGAAGCTTAATCTAATCAATTTAACACATCATTCAAGTTACAAAACACTATTTAGATTATTGTTTTTGTTTTAATGCATGCTATCCTCGTGGGATATTTTCAGGGCCGAGATAATAAGTGCCAATCTAGGCTAAGATGGACGCATCTAAGAATCCATGGGCTAAAAAGCAAGTTTGTCAGCTTTCTGCTTCGCTTTAGATCATATTGACACTGGCTGAGCTGTCCCAGGACAGAGACTGGCCTTCCACACCAGACACAGTGTGGATTTCTATAGAAAGGAAGAGAGACGAGCTTCATTGGCCACAGGCTTTACATTCCTGCTGTCTATGAGAAGGGTAGATGACCCACCTGGAGCCTGGATGAAAAGATGCTTAGGGACCCAAAGCCTAACTAAGCCAGCACACTGAGGGACCCCAAGCCCAGCCTTGTTCAGGAGGGCTACAGCATCTGGAACTCTCAAGTTAAGGCCCAGAGTTTTAAATACTAAGCTCCAGAGTTCAGTGGAATCCAGGGCTCATTCAGCTCTGAAGGGTGCCACTTTTCCAACTGATCCCAAATCTTGGGTGGTGGGGGGAGGGGGCTTAAGTCAGGCTGCATTTGGCAAAAGACAGCTTCCTGTTTCTAAGAAAGAAAGGCTTATGAGGGTTTAGGAAAGGACTCCAGGAGCTTTTGGACTGCAAAAGGGCTCTTGCAAAACAACATTTGGATGATTTACGTGTAAATGAATCAGAAACATGTGGATTGAATTTCCTTGCGAATACAGATGGGTTTAAAAATTAACGGAAAAAGTGTTTGGCAAAATACTTTTGGGTTTTTCTTTTAATTGAATCTAAAATGTCCGGGGTGGGGGTAGGGAAGCAAGAGTAATGTGGGGGGCACATGGCCTGGCCTCCCTCTGTCCATCTGTGTTAATGGGGTTCTTTTATTTCCAGACACGATGGTTTAGATAAAGGAAGAGAAATTGGTCCACTTTCCCCACATGTTAATCACAAAAAAGAAGATTTGCTTTAGTTTAGACTTGTCAATAAAAGCAAAAGAGTTTTTTGTTTGTTTGTTTGTTCTCTGTGTTATCATTGGTAGCCAAAGACGGCCTTGTCTTTGGTTTTAACACAGGCATCTCTCTCTTGTCTTGGTATATTTTCAAGTTGCCATGCTGTCTTAATTTTCCTACAGCGACCTCTTACTTTTCACACCTGTTATGTTAAGTGTACCTTATGCAATGGTGTCTATTTGATATAAGGGCAAATACAGACCAGAGAAGCTCAACAGTTTCTCAGGGTCATCCAGCTAGACCTGAGAAGCCGAAATGGTAGGTTTACAGTCAGAATTAACCTGCTTTGGGATTAGACCCAGGCTCTACACTTCTATATCTAATTCTGTTTACATCTCCAGCAACTCCAGAGTGCTCCAGTTCACTGCATGTTCTAGCCAAGGAGGCTGAGGGTCAGGATGATTTACCATCTCAGGGGAGCACACTCAGAAGTGGACAGGCAAGAGGTGGAATTTTCTAAACACCACTATGCAGCTTCTAACTCCAAACTCTTCAAATGAATTTGGGTTGACTTAAAACAGGCCTTTCCTTCATAGGCTATAACCTTTCTAGGGGCTGTGCTTAGATCATTCCAGAAATCCTGAGAGCAGAAAAGGCGTTCTACACTTTCAGGCAAATATGTCCTCTCCTCCAACTCTATGCTTCCTCTGGACTTCGCTTTCCCTGTGAACAATGCCTGCTGGAGCTGGCATATCCTTTTCCAGCTAGGGCTGAAGGGAAGGCTCTCAGATGGTTGCTCTGTTGCTTAATTTTCCTGCTAATACAGAACATAAGGAGAGACTGTTTGCAGAAATTGTTGGCAGTTACAGCGGGCCATTTCTTTCTTTCTTTTACATTTTGGATGTGATGTGAGGGAGGGAAGGCAGAATGGCAAACTGAAAATTCTCACTATTTTGCAAAGTCTGAGGCTGCATCTTTTCCAATGGTATTTAAGCTATGCAACTTTCCAGTTACGGCTTAAAATTGAAGTCAGATTCGGAGGAATGTTTAGGATACTCTGTTCTGTTAGGGATACATATACATGCTGATATAACTTTTAATGAGCTACATGTATATTTTGTGACAAAATTCATTCCCAGGAAGATACAAGGACATCTGGTTAATATTTAATCATCAGCGTCATGTGTGGGTGGTTTTTTTTTTTATTTTTTTTATTGTGTCCCCCCTCCCATGTGAAGTGTTTGGATACAAAACCACTGACTTCTGTCTTTTCTTTTCATAGCGATATCTGGCATGATTGTTCCTCCCATGTGAAAGAATTGCCTTGAAGAATTTTATTAATGAAGAGGTTGGATTCTGCTACGAAAGTAATCTGATATGAGTCCCAGAGTGGAACTTTTAACTCAGGCCTTTTTAAGAGGAATCACACAATAACTGCAGATTTTTAAACAAAATCACCGACCTTGCAAATACTGAAATTGGAAAGGGGATCTGCCAGAGCAGGGTGTTGGTTAAAGCTGTACCCCCAAGTATTTGGGGGATATATTTATTCTGTATTGATAAAAAGCAAAACCATGTTTTCTTTTTCTTTTTTTTTCTTTTTCTTTTTTTTTTTTAGGCTTAACTCTGCAATCATTTGTCTTTTATAAACCATAAGCTACACACAAAGGCCACTATAAATAAGACTCCATGTTTTAATTTATGATGTTTTTAAAGCTGTGTAAGGGGAGAATGAAGTGGTGATATTTACAAAAAAGTTAAAAAAGAAAAAAAAAAGAAAAACAGGGAAAAATAAAATTAAAAAAAAAAAAAAAAGCTTGTATGGGACAGAATAGGAATGCCAGTTAGATTTTTTAGAAAACTAAGGGTCGGCTTTTGCGCCTTAAAGCATATCAATGGTAGTTAGCCCAGACAGTGCATTTTCAATATCTAACTTAACATGCCATCCCTTAGCAGTGCAAGCTTCTTTCTCTCTTTTGTATGGTTGTCTTAAGTAACTGTGTAAATAGGTGCAGCCTGGAAAGTTACCAAGCAACATACGCGATCACATTTTCCCCTTGTACTCAGAAAATCCAGTGCCTCTAGACAGATTGTTTAAAAACAAAAACAAGACAAAAAAAAAATCGCATCTTTTAAACTCGATCTCATTCTTTTACTCATGGCAACTTCTTCCGAAGCCAGTGGCCTCTGAGAGTGGAGTGGCACGCGCACTGAGTGAGAAAGTCCTTCAAGACTTCATGGGACAGGGTCCAGGCACAGATGTCCGCATACGCCCTCCAGTTTTCCAAGCCAAAATCTCACTCGCACTCCACCACCGAGAGATCCAAGCTTACTTATGCTAGAATCCTAAATGCTAACTCTATATCCAGGCTCAAAACACTCAAACAAAGCCAACTGACAAAGGCAAGTGGGCAGGTGGTTTCAGGCTCCCAAATCACACAGGGGCCTAGACCAGCAAGGCCTTGGGCATGGTTGGAAAGTTACAGAGTCAGTCAACAGGTAAAGTGCTTTGGAGTTTAGAGTGAAAGGAAACTGCGGGAGAGGAAGAGAAGGTGGAGGCCTCAGACTCAGCTTTCTGTGGGAATTTTTGCTTTCAGCTGGGAAGTGTTCTTAAAGAATCCACAGCAAATCTTTGCCCTTCTGTTTCTGTATGTAGTTATAAATACTGTAGATTTTTTTTTCTGTGATTTTTTTTTTTTTTTTTTTTGCCAAAGTTGTTGTTTTATTTATACATTTTAATGTCTTAAGATGGTTTTCGGTCACACACACACAGACATGAAAAGATTTTGCTGCAAAGAAATAAAAAGCTCACTACCTTTAGCTTGCACATACTTGCAAAGTTAATTCAAAAGGCTTTTTGTTTGTTTGTTTAAATGGGGATTTTGTAAAATATCCATATAAATAATGTATTTATCTTTGGAATTTGTACATTGCTTTTTCTCTCCTTCCTTCCACCCCCTCCCTCAGTTTATTTTTTGTGTGTGTTTGCTTTGTGAACAGTGCATACAGTTTGGTCAACTATGGTTGTATTAGCTGTTTCCATGTGATTTTTAAACAATTCATTTTTAGGTATTTTTAGTATTGTTATAAACCATGCTTCAATTTTTTTTATTTCCACCCAAAAGCCATTGTCTATTTTTGTATTATTTGTAAGTTAAGAAGTTTTTTCCAATATATGGCAAAAAAAATAGTAGCATATTATTCTTGTAGTATTTAGTTCTGTAGATTTAAAAATAATGTATCCTTTGCTTTGGAAGCATACAAAAAAAATGCTGTTTTACTCTATTAATATGCATGGAATCTCTCCCTTTGGAGTGACGCATTTTGTGCATTAAATTTGGGGGAGAAACTTCATAGAGATCAATGAACATACTTTCTTTCTTAAGTCTGCTTGTATATTCTGTCTTTCACATAAATATAAACCAGCAGATTGGATGCCTTAACAATGCAAACCATATCCATTTCACCTGTACATTGTCCTGTGCACCCCAACTGTCAGTCATCACTAACATTCTAAGAAAAGAAAAAAGAAAAAGAAAAAGAAGAAAAAAAAAAACAAAGAAATTGAAAAGCACAAAAGAACTGTTTTGTTACTTTAAGACAATGTTACTTTTTCTAGTAGAGCAAGCGGTCATTAACAATGCTGCGACTGTGCATGCCCGGTATGGATTTCAATGGTTTTCACTAGACTGTCAGAGTGCGGATTTTTATGGGCTGGGGAGGGCAGGGGAGGGAAGTTGAAGGGGGAGGGTTGGTAAGGGAGGGGAGGGAGGAAAGCTGATTTTTCATGGTGAGAAATAATAATAATGACGACTGATGATAATAATAATAATAATAAAAAGAAACTGGAAAAATATAAGCAAGGTTTAGCATTGCTTCTCCGTACTCAGAAAGGTTGTCTGAATTCGTGTGTTAAGCGCTGGCCTGAAGATGTCTAAGGTCTAAAGCCATATTTTGTCTGGTGAGCCAGACAACCGTCTGCAAAGGAACGAGCAGCGAGCCGGTGAGATATCCGGCTCAGACCCCGACAAAAGACACCACCAATCTGTTAGCCATGTGCCGTGGTGAGAGAGCCCAAAGAGCCTTTAAAAAGAAAACGTGTGTCATTTGTGTTTTTTTGGTTTGTTTTGCTTTTGCTTGTGTTTGATTAGGCGATGGAGAAGATGCTGGTTCCGGGAACCGCGCGCTCTTCTGCACAAAATTTTGTTTTCAAGTTCCTTTAAGCGATTGCCCTCTAGATACAGAATATGGCTTTTAACAGAAGATGGAGTAGAGAATTCAATTCAGATTGCAGCTTGGGGGAAGAGCCCTGCCTTTGGATGACTGGATATGCAAATGCCATGCCGGGCCTCACAATGTAGGCTACAGCTTTATAAGCTCATCTCTCAACCTACTTATCTGTCACCTTATTGTCAAACCTTCTCGATAGACACACACTGTACAGTTCAATTGTTAGAGCACTCAACTACTGTAGAGATTGTTATAATTTTTCTTTCTTTTTCTGTTTCTGTTTTTGTTTTTTGGGTTTTTTTTGTTTTTTGTTTTCTTGGGAAAAAATTCAAGCTGTAAAAACTTTTCAACTTTCACAATATTTAATTAAAGTTACTTCCTGTCTGTGATGGCAGTTCCTAGTGGCGTATTCATTTCTCTATGGCAGAGGAGCAAACGCTCAATGAACTGCTGAAGGCCCGGGTTTGCTATTATTCAGGCCAGAGTTGACACCCAGAGAGAATTAGCCCAGGCCCGGGACACCCACTTCCTTTCTTTGTAGGCCCTCGGGGATTGGCTAATTTGGAATGCAAATTGAACAGGCACAGCGTACTGCTGCCCTCTGCTGGCCTGAGCCTGGTGTGCAGGTGCTGGCCCACGGAGGAGCCAGGGGCCCCCAGTCCTGTTATCTCCGAATAGTGAGATACCCCATTCCAGCGGCCGAATTGGGAACCCACGAACCGGTCATTCTCGAACAGCACTCTCTGCACTGGAAGTATGGGCTAAACGCTTCCAATGCATCTGCTAATTAATCCCAGTGAGCCTTCTGGCCAATTAATTATGTGCCCTGGCTTGCTGATGAGGCATGTGTGACTAGAGAACCTATATATTTTTTTAACTCAAGTGTGAATAATAGAGTTTTTTTTTGTTTTTTGTTTTTTTTTTCCTGGTGGACAAAACCACATCTGCCTGGGCTCAGACTTTACAGGCATGCCCTCGGTGTGGAAACTTCCCAGGCACCGAGAAGGTACACAGATGTCTAGGACCGGGTCATTTTAAGTCCCGTCCCGATGTTTAAGTCCCGTCTTTCCACTGTACTTTACACGTCTTTACTAATTTTGCAGTGACTGGACACGATGAGGTTAATGATGCTTACAAAATGCCTCGGCCAACAGAAACTCCATGGTCAGAGCTAATAGGGTGTCCCATAACCACCAGCACATTCATTTGTGGCAGACACTGCTACTGTACCGCTCTGAAACACAGCCCAAGGTAAGGTCATGAAAGACAATCCTGTGTAAGCCAATGAGTAAGGAAGCTGCCATCCTGTCTTCAACAGAGAGTCCTGCCGGATCAGCTTGGCCATTCGCTGGTTCTGTTGTTGTTGCTGCTGCTGTTGTATTGTTTTGTTGTTTTTTTGGCTTTCTGTATCAGGTGAAGAAGAGAAAAACTGAACAAAATGTTCAGGGTGCCTTCAGGGTGCTCATGGTGTCAGACCAGACAAACCACCCTCAAGTCACCCTGTTCTATAATGCTTTAGCTACAAGAGGCAGGCATACTCTAGAGATCCACAGAGTAAAAACAGGTCATCACACTCTGAATTACCAGCTTAGCATTGTTAAGGCCTACCTTTTGACAGCATTCACTTCATTCATTCATTCATTATTCATTCATTCACATATTCATTCATTCACTAGATGGTTCCTTTAAACCCCAAGCATTTGCCATTCCTATGACACTAACCGTGGGGCGGATCCCTTCATAAAGACACTAACACTGTTTCTGTTCTTGGAGCTTACAATGCAATAGAAAAAAAAAACTGACAAAAAGTACCCCTCCCCCAACACATGCAACCTCTAACCACGGTAATGAATACTAGTCAAGAATGTTTTAGAGGTATATCATAGTGAGATCTGATATAATCCAAGAACTTTCTGGAAAAAGGCCTCCAGAGAAAGAAACTGAGGTAGAAAGAGTGAGCTCTTCAGACAAAGTGGGTGAGGGTGAGTGTAACAGCCAAGTTTCAAGTAGGATAAGGTGCACCCAAGGGCATCTTGTGTTGAGTCGAGTACACAGATGCCCACAGGGACCTTTGGGGGCACAGC